ATGATCGAACTTTCCTGCAGAGTAGCTCTAGTAAAAAGGAGACTATCATATGCGAAGAACAATCTCAGGGCCATTTCTGCTAGCCCGAACACCATGGATCAATTTTTTCTCCGAGGCCAACTGCAACATTCTAGAAAGAACATCAGAAACCAGAATAAAGAGATAAGGGGAAATAGGATCAATCACCCTGGCGAAGACCCCTAGAGGGAGTCAGTTCATCCGAGGGAACCCCATTGATGATGAAAGAGTAGCTAACAGTAGACACAAATGCCATAATGGTGTCTACCCAAGCTCCGGCAAACCCCAACTTAGTCAATAGCCTCCTCAAAAAATCCCATTCCACCCGGTCATAGGCCTTACTCATGTCTAGCTTCATTGTAATCGACCCCCGACGACCTTTTGACTTTTTCTTTAAGGTATGAGACAGATCCAGAGCAATGAGAGCATTATCAGTGATTAGGCGTTTCGGAACAAAGGCACTCTAATTCTCCGTAACTATTCCTTGTAGAAGAGGTTTAAGCATATTAGCCACAGATTTTGAGGCTAATTTATATATCACATTGCATAGAGAAATCGGTCGAAATTAGGATATACAAGTAGGATCCTTGACTTTCGGAATTAGAGCAACATTAGTACGGTTAACATGAGCCAACGATAACCTACCAAAAATAATATTATTGACAAAAGTGGTAACATCATCTCCTACAATATGCCAATATTTCTGGTAAAAAATAGCATGTAAACCATCAGGGCCAGGAGCCTTACAAGGGCTCATTTGTGAAAGGGCAGCATAGATTTCAGCCTTCGGGTATGGGCGACAAAGAGACGAGTTCATACCTTCGGATACCATAGCCGGGACACAATCAAGAACCTCTTGCATCAAAGAATCATCAATATCACAACTGGAAAAAAGAGAGCCGTAGAAAGAGAGAATTATTTTCTCAATTTCTTTTTTCCCCATTCTCCATACACCATTTGCATCATTCAACCCCTTGATATAATTCTTACTCTTTCTCTGACCCGCCTTATGGTGGAAATACTTTGTGTTGCGATCGCCATCTTTAATTTCTGAAACTCTCGAACGAAGGTACCAATATGCCTCATTCTTTTCATGGAGGTCATCTAAAATAGCCTCCAATTTATTACACTCGGTAAAATTGGGATGGGGACCCCTATTGTTCTGAGCTTCTCGCAATTGATCTTCTGTCTCTTCTATCTTTGTTCTCAAGTCATCAAAAGCATCTTTGCTCCATGTGGTCAACTCATTTGCCACCTGTAAAAGTTTGTTTCACATATCTAAGTGGCATGACTCACTCTAGGCTTTCCTTACAATGTCCTCGATTCCCTCAGCCAGCAACCAACACGTCTCGAAGCGGAAGCATTTCTTTTTTCTATGCTTATTTCTTTTAACCCGAGCCTCCAAATCAAGAAGGATACCCGTATGGTCTGACTTAATTTTTTTTAAGTGAGATACATGAGCCTGGCTAAACCACGAACACCATCTAGAGCACGCTACAAATCTGTCCAGACGCTCTCGAACAACAGTCTCCGGGGAATTGCCTCGTTCCCAAGTAACCCAAGACCCATCATAGCCAAAGTCCTTCAAAGAACAATCATCAAGCACTTCTCGAAAGGCATCCATAGCTCGCTGCTCCCTTAACACGCCACCCGACTTTTCATGAGAACCAAGAATCTCGTTGAAATCACCCCCAAAGACCACCGGACATGGAGAATAAACATATAGTTCACGAATGAGAGCCCATGTATTCCCTTTCAAACCTTCCCTTTCAAAGCTTTATCCACCCACCCGTAAGCACCTACAAATCTCCAAATCCTCCCCCCTACCTAGCTCCTTGATATCACCACAAATATGGTGTTCAGAGTAGGAAACTAAAGAAAAATCCACCCCATTTCTCCAGTATACACACAAACCACCAGACTTACCCCTACTATCAACACCAAAAGCCATATCATAACCACATTTATTTTTTTAAATTTTCTGATTTTATTCTACTGACCATAGTTTCACACAAGAAAATAATATCCGGGCAAATAGTACGACTCCAATGTCGAAGAGCACTGACAAATTATTTATGAGAGAATAGTTTTAATTGTATTGATGATCTTGGCTAATATTTATAGCCTACATAAGATAACCTACACAATATAAACTCTATCATATAAACTTCCATAAATCTATCTTAGAATATCACTAAGATATATTATTATCCTAAATATAATATCATAAGATATATATGGAAAATATATCACAATAATATATTTTCCTATATTCCCAACACCCTCCCGCAATCGTAACGGAATAACACGAACGTTATGATTGGAAAGTCGCACTTTGTTGAAGTTGATCGAGTTGCACTACCTGTTGATGTCGCCTTCAATTTTTTTTTATTTAAAAAAAAAGAACTTTTGCTACCACGACCCTTTGCTGGTGTCCATGGTCTTCTGTCACGGCCCTTTGCTGGTGTCCGTGGTCTTTTGTCACGGCCCTTTGCTGGTGTCCGTGGTCTTCTTTGCCACGGCCCTTTGCTGGTGTCCGTGGTGTTCTTTGCCACGACCCTTTGCTGGTGTCCGTAATCTTCTTTGCCACGACCCTTTGCTGGTGTCTGTGATCTTCTTTGCCAGGCCCTTTGCTGGTGTCCGTGTTCTTTTGCAAATTTTTTTAAATAATAAATAATATGCCAAACGTGGCTTTTCTTCATCTCCTTGGAGATGCAATAATGGAGGAAGCACACTCAAACACTACAACCTAACCAAATCACATATGACCATTCATATTGATCACGTATCACATGGTTATTCCAAAAAAAAAAAAAGATTAAATAAAAAAAAATAGAAATTTCAAAGAGCAATACTATTGCATAGCGGAAGCAAATTTATGAATCCCACCAGTGGGTTTAATATTCTAACCCACCAGCAGGGAGAGAATTTGTGTGAACGGTGCCAAGATTTAACCTGCTCTTGATACGATGACAAATTATTTATGAGAGAATAGTTTTAATTGTATTGATGATCTTGGCTAATATTTATAGCCTACATAAGATAACCTACACAATATAAACTCTATCATATAAACTTCCATAAATCTATCTTAGAATATCACTAAGATATATTATTATCCTAAATATAATATCATAAGATATATATGGAAAATATATCACAATAATATATTTTCTTATATTCCCAACAAGCACGAATTGCATGAGAGTTGTCCGCCCCTCGGCAATTCCAACACAAAAGTTTCATTGCTTTTCAGGGGGTTGGCTCACTCCAACACCCCTTACTTGATTTATACCGTCTCCAGGAAGAGTTGACTCTGCCAATTTGAGCCTTTTGTTTTGAGGACTAGATTGCTGTCCCATGGAGATTGGGGAAGTGGACCTTTTATGAGTCACCAAATCTCCTGATACAACCCCTCCAAATCCCACAGCTCCACCATCCACCTTCACACTTCCCTTACTTCTAAATCTCCTCTTTCTGCCTATTTTCACCTGGTCTTGGATTAAGTCATGGTCCATATCAGAGCTTTCATCATTATTCTCCACGGTGGGGTTTAAGATAAAATTCTCTTCATGAGCTTTTCCTTCATTCACCACATCCTTCTCAGCCCTTATATCATCATCATCAACCATACTTCTGATTCTCAAATTTTTGCTGTTGAAGGATCTACTACCTTGACCAAAGCAGCCTCTCTTGGTCGAGGAGGGGGAAAATTCAGCTTTCTAGCAACACCAGGGGGACCTAGCTTGACTGCATCCGGGTCATGATAAGTCGGAACTCGAGTTTTCGTAGCTGTGCGCAGCCCTTCCTTCCATTTCCTTTCTTTTTCAATCTCAGACTCTGATTTGCGAGTCTGCTTGCTTGGAGATGCACGGAGCCACGGTCCATATTGGTAAACAATCTCCTTACTCGCCTCCTTTGCCTCTTCCTTGAACATAAATCCTGTTTCCGTATGATCCAGACGACCACAAAAGTAACAAAAATCCACCAGACGTTCATATTTGAGCGCCACCCACTTTGAGGAAGATGATCCAGTTGCAAGGAAAAAACCCCGTCGTAGAGGTTTTTCAATATCAATCATCACTTGATTTTTATAAATTCCCGCCATCCCAATGGATCTGTCTCATCAAGCCCCAAGAAAACACCCAAAGAATCACCTATTTCAGTCAGAGTTCTTTTATTGCGCTTGTTGAAAGGAACATCAAGAAGCCTAACCCACATAGGTGCAAAACGGAAAACTACCTCTGGAGTCTGGTGTGGTGGTCTCGACTTGTCTTAAGTTGGAGGGTAAGTTTGAGGTTGATGTAGTAGAAGCTCTTGCCATGAGACATGCTCTAAACATAGCTCTGGAGTCTGGGTTTCGACATGTGTGCTTGGAGACCGATTGCCTGAAGTTGCATAATCACCTAGTGAAAAGAATCGTCCCTAGTACTGCTTTTGGGATGCTTGTGAAGGACATCCTTCAACTCACTCTCTCCTGTCATTCTATTGCTTTTTCTTTTGTGAGAAGTGGAAATCATGTTGCTCATAATCTTGCAAAGATGTGTATTTCTTTTAATGAGCTTAGAGTGTGGATGGAGGAGTATCCTTGTGATGTAACCGAATTTGTTTTGGCTGATCAGAGCCACATTTGAGTTGAATAAAGAGTTTGCTTCCCGTCAAAAAAAAAAAAAAAAAAAAAAAAAAAAAAAAAAAAAAAAGACACTGAACAAACTAGTGGCGGGAACTTGCTTGTGGTTTGTTTTGTCACTTGATTATTCCGCAAAAAGCATGTTTACCTCAACAACTTAACCTCAAGGGGTGGAGTGCCCTTGAACTTTTCTTATTTGATTAAAATTAGTTGTCAACTTTAAGCCATCAATAGATTATGGACTATTCAATGGATTCTCAGGATTTTCACATTGTTTGCTGACTAAATATACATCGAACAAATTCAAAGTTAAGCTTATCTGTTTCTTGTCCTTACCTTCATCCATGTAATATGCAGCACCTAAAAATCTGAAATGATCATGTCATACAATAAAATCTCAACTACAAGTTTGGTATCTACACTGTAAAGATTGTACTTCTTTGTTACGCAACAAAAACCTTTTTGAGTAAAACAACACATTAGTACTAAACCGTAATCTTCTATGACATGACATACTTCCAACAGGAAAACAAAATCTAAAATCTCCAAGGAAAAGCTTCATCTACAGCTTGAATAAGAGAAAGAAGCTCGTCAGAAAACAGAACACGCTGATCAGCAGGCTGAACCATTGGCGGTCTACTATTGTTCAGTGCTGAGCCATTTTCTCTCCGCTCACTAAAATTGGCCCTACAAACAGGACAATGTTCATGATTTTTCACCCAAGGTACAATGCATTCTTCATGAAACATATGACTGCAAGGAGTCAGCATCACTTCTTCTCTAGGCTCGAAATCCTCTAAACAAACAGCACAGCTTTTTCCACCTTCATCTCTATCCTTTTCCATTGCTGAGGTACTAGTGCCATTGTTAAGATCCCTATAATATAGATTCACTCTTCTTGCCAAGGTTCTAGGCGTAGGATAGTAGATTTCTTTCTTGAGTTTCTTAAGGACGATTTCTTGGTGTTCTTTTGTTAGCTTTGAGTCATCATTTTCTGTAGGTACACAAATGGTTTCGTTGCCACTGAATCTGGGCATTAGCCCGTGTGAAGCTTGTGGAAGCCTAGGGTTAATTCTGTGACTCGTGCTGTTGCTGAAGACTATGATTCGTGTTGAAGGATAAGAATCCGAAGGAATACTGCAACGTTTACAACATAATTAGGCTTGTGTTCAAGAAATCAGAAGCTACATATATAGCATCAATAATCAGCTCGTTTCATGGATTATATATTTACAAATATCTAGGATCATGTATTTTCCACACACAATAAGACAATATGCAATACCATGCTGAACAAACTCTACTTTACAAACATAAACTGGGTACGCTAGATCTACCTGGTTCGGCCATATGCCGGTCTTATGGCAGGTCTTTCCGTAAATGGCCTGTATGCTGCTGGTGCACCATATCTTGGATTCTGCAATAAAAAATACAACAAACATATGAGGGAAAAAAAAGTGTTTCAACACTTCAAATAAAGTTAAAAAATCAATTCCTAGCCTTACATCTTGAGCAGTCGAATGATGATCCCATCTGAGTTGTTGATCGTCATGCAGTGGAGAGTCTCTATATCCCCTGATCATTTTGCCTTTTCGTTCGTCCAACTCTTCTAGGTTCGAGCAACAAAACTGACGATTCTCATAGCTTCACAGCTCTGGATTTTTCTTGAAGTTTTTGGCCTCCTAAGCCTTGTCTTTTATATTGTTCTGCTACTAATATCCTGATTAAAAGCTTTATTCTGTGCCTGTTGAAGATACTCTGCAATGTGTTATAGGTGTCAGAGATAATGACTTTGATGGATATCAAAGAAAGAATCTAGTTCTTTTGTGGGGTTCATGACAAAGGCTTCAGCGGTTTTGCATCATTTTTCGGTTGTGTTCAGATTGATTAATCACCATTATAAAACCAGCAAAGTTGCTTTTGTCAAATCATCAAATCCAGAATAAAATACAAAGTATGTCCTAGGGCCTATTCACATTTACTTAATTTTAATCAGTTCAGTTCAGTTTATTTCAATAAATGTGAACAGACCCTTACTATAGTCATATACAAATTTAACTTTAAGGATCGACTACTATCACCAAAGAAACACCAAGCTTTGCTTGGTGGAGTTGGTGGGGAACTCACTTTGTGACTTTGAGGTCATGAATCGAGTCCCACTAACTACAAAATTCTTGGGAGTAGAGAGATTACGGAGCTAGGTTGGCTTAATAGAGTCCTTCTTTTTACCTTTTTTTTAAAATAAAAAAAAAACTACGGACACAATTAAACTTGACTTTTTTATTTAGACTTAATTGACTTTTTTTATTTAGACTTAATTGTCACATTGTCCTTTGTCATGAACCGGAGATCAATGTAATATGTACTTCGTATAACTTCTACAAGGATATTATTGGTACAAACTTATTGGTACAAACTTGGCCACTATATGAGTATGTGTCTACGTATGTCATATTAGAAAACTATGGAGTATTAAACAACTTTTATTCGGAATTTATACCATGACTCGTGAATCCATATCCATGATGACTGCCAGATGCCCAGATAGAAGACACAGTAATGTACAGAAAAATAATGTTTGATAAGTATAGTTTTAATATAACTCATTGGAAAAATTTCCAACACCTGTTTGAAGTTGGTGGCAATAAACCAGCCAGCAATTTTTTTTTTCTTTCATTTTCATCACAATTTTTTGATAATATGTCAATTCAGTAAAACGAAAGCAGGGCAGCACGCAACCTGGCCAGCCAAAAACCAAAAGTCTGACTAAAAAATTGAAACTTTTATCTGAACCTAAAGTATTACAATTGGTTCTGAATTTATCAATCCAAAAACTAGTGAAGATCAATACTTCTTGGCCTGTTTAATCTGAAGCTATTAGACGAGTACCTAATTACTGAACTTCAGAAAGGCAGGAAACTTGGAAGTACCGAATAGCACATGGTTTGGGAATTCTTCTCATAATCTCATGGCAAGATACCTTGAATGCAGCTTTACTTGGTCATTGTAGAAGAGAGGATAAAATTCCAAAAGATGGAACCAAATGACATGAAAGCCACCCGCGTCTGAAGAGGAACAACCCTACAAATAATCACAGGAGATAATTAATTTAAGAAACAAAAGACAGGTCAGCCAAAAATCTATATGCTAAAATTAATTGGTTAACAGGTCTAAAATTCTGTCAGTTTGGAACAACAGATATGTTAGGTACTCCATTGAAAGGGTGTGCCTATTATTAATTATTTTCTTAGATGTCGCCAAATTGTTTGCATTCTTTCAAAATCTACATGATCAAGTTGTTGATTTCTCATCTGAACCCAACATGTATTAACACTTTCACATGTCAAAATTTTGCAGCGGTTTTTATTCTTTTCTTTGTTTCTCATTTTCAAATTTACCAAAGAATAAAGGCAAAAATCTATCACTTTAGTTAGAATACTTACATGACATACTTAACAGGCATATTTCATCAACTAGCAAGTACTTAAAATTTGAATAAATGCCTAAATTATCCCAAATTATACATTTTTCCACATCTTTATAAGTCACTGAAACAAGGACAAAGGTAGAAGCAATACCAAAAGTTCAGTACACTATATGGAACCCAGAATCTAAATCCTGCAAAAAACAAATACAGATATCAAACATCAGCATCCACGGTGAGCAGGACAGGATATCTTGTCCTTTAAAAAAAAAGGCAACTTATAATCATTTGAATTTACATACTTACCAACAAGCAGGGTAGGAAGGGCATCCTTTTGATATTTTCTTGGTAGCTCACATAGCTTCCCTTGCCATAAATTATTCCATGCAAAGACAACAGCAATAACTGATGGACCGAGAATTATTTGGTTTAACAAAACCTGAGAGTTCGTGAATCATCAACTTCAGATATCACAAATACACAATAGCATGTCTAGAGCAAACCATCAAAGAGAGTTTGCAAACATCAGGAATCATTCAACAATGAGAATGCGAGCATGGTAACATCAGAAGAAACAAAGGTAACATTAATGATAAATTAATAAGAAACAATGACAACACTTACAAAACAATACCTTTGTCAGTAGGTTCTGAACTGTTGGCTGAGGAAAATATCGATCTAGGGTTTGATACCACACATAAGATCCAGGGCCATAAAGCAAAAATCCGTAGGAAGTCATTCGAAGGGCTCGTAGCCAGTCATGACTTGAAAGAAGACTCTGGATAGTATCCTGTAACCAAAACCTAGGTTAAAGTTTTAAACTAATATGTCATAATGCATAGCTTAAATATAGTCCTCACTCCTTAGTGAGTTAGGTACTCAAGATTACCCTCCCCAAGGCTGAACACTCAAACAGAGATATTGAGGCCAACCCCTCACTCCCTCAGGTCCCCAGGTACTTTAGGAGGGAGAGGGTTTAATCTCAGGAACTTTAGTTTCGAACCTCACCCTACCCTATTCAAAAAAGGAGTATTCTATCTATAGTGCAACATTCTATAATAAACTAACCTAAGGAGGGGCTATATGGGTAGTCTAGTATTATTACGTTAATTGTCTTAGCTTCATCATAAACAGAGGGAAGAGAAGGAGAGGGAAGGCAGATATTAGGAGTGACTTTCTGAGAGAGTTGTGACCTCAAGTCACTATTTGGAGAGTTGTGAGCTAAAGTCACTCTGGAGCTTGATAGGCTATATCTATTGATTGTGTAAACCATTGTTCTAATAAGCAAAGCCTCAATCTTTCTTCTCTATTTTACTTTTCTCTGTTATTTGGTTGTGCTTGGCTTGAATCTACTACACATTTAGTACATGAATAAGAGATAAATTCACATCTAGCCAGCGAAGGGACATACCATCTGTTTGGGTCCAATTTAGTCCAATTGGGCCTAGGCATTAAATGATCCAATTAAAAGCCCAAGGTCAAGGTTCAACTCTCCAATTGTGCTAAAGTCAAAGGTCAGTCCTCAAAGCAAGCCAATTGGGCTAAGGCCTAACTTCTCCATGTATGAAGAGGTATAAAAGCCATCAATATTCATATATTCTCATAACTCTAGAAAAACCTCAAGCAACAAATTCTCTTGCATTGTGTTCTCTTTCTACACATTGTACTGACTTTAGCATCGGAGGGGCCTTCCTCGGCAACACCCCGGAGGCTAGTTTACGTGTGTTTACTGTGCAGGAAACCTTCGGCCCAACATAACTTGGACCGAATCTAGTCTTCTCCGTTTCAGCGGACCTTCGGCAAGGTCCCATTGTTTTCACCCGAAACACCATCTATCAATGCCCATGCTTATTAACTAGCCAAGCGAAGGGACATACATCTAGCCAAGCAAAGTAACCCAAATCAATCACTAAACACTGCCTTCATGATTGGTTAGGGATAAATTGCCTACATCTGGATATTCTCTTTATAGTATGCCCATGCTTAATGAACTTATTAATAGATGACTCAAATGCATCTATCAATGCCGTATAGTATCACCCCATACTAAACTAACCTGTCATGGCCCTATGGTATGCCCCATGCTAAACCAACCTATAACTCGGCCACGCAAAGCAAACCTGTCACTTCCCAATAGTTTGCCCCGTGCTAAACGAGCCTATTACTTGATCACTCAAACGAACCAGTCAGTGCTCTATAGTGCCCTCATGCTAAATGAACCTGTTACTCGGGTCACTCCAACAAACCTATCACTGCCCTATAGTATGCCCATGTTAAAATATTGTTTTCAGACTGTGAATACTACTAGATATGCCCAAAACTCAATACAGCCATCACTAGCATGAATGCATGTGCTAACTATGAAATTCAATTTAAGATCACAAAGCCCATAAATCAACAAAATCCCATAAAAGGCACAAAATATCTTTAATTACCCAATAAATTTCTTCCCAACACACAACAATTCAACAACAAAGAAACCACAATTCAAGAAATTTTACCCAATTAGCTTCAGAAACGCACAAATTCACAAAAACCCACATACCATTAACAGCAAATAAGAGATAAAAAGATAAAAATGGGGAAAAAAAAGACCTTATCAGAGTCATCAGTATCGGATTTTTGGGTGATAGAAGTCCAGCGTTGTCGGAGCTGAGCAATGGTGTCGCCGGCCAAGGCGAGAGATCCAGCAGTCAGCGCTTGCTTAAGCGGGAAATGGTGGGCGGAGTTGGGCTGAGCAGAAGACTCCGAAGAAGAGGCGTTGTGCTTGTTCTCTCTTCTTCTTGGTTTTCTTCCTCTGTGACGAAATTGGTTGAAAGGGTTAGTGCTCCACCATGAACCTCCTAAAGCATCCATTCTACCGTAAAATACTTGGAGAACCCACTCACCTACTCACTACTTGGAGTTTGCCGGGTAAAGCTAAAGTGCTAGACCCACCAAATTGCTGGGGTTTGTTTTCCTAGCACAAGCTGTAGCGGGCCCACTTTTGTATTTGGGCGTATAACTATACTCATGCGGGGCCCACGTGGTAAAGAAATACACCCTTCGTATTTTTTAATTTTCATCATTTTTTTCTTTTATGGTTGTTTTTTTATTTGCATCACTTCTATATATACTAGTTGTTGGCCCGCTACGCGCGCGGTCCTTCAATTTGGTGATCTATCTTTGGTGATTTATGTGTAATTATGCGATGATATATGTGCAGATTATTTATAACGTTTTATTTGTAACGAAGTTAGGTATAGATGTTGGCGTTGATCAAAGTTGAAATATGATAAAATAGATTGTGCTGCTAAGGAATTAGTGTAATATATGG